TCTTCTCCTTCTAATTTGGTTTCCCTCTTCTTCCTCTTCTAATTTTTTTTCCTCTTCCCTCTTCACTCCTTCTAATTTCCTTTTCCTCTTCCCTCTTCTCCCTTCTAATTTCATTTTTCCTATTCACCTCTTCACTTTTCTTTAATTTCATTTTCCTCTTCCTCTTCCTCCTTCTAATTTCATTTTCCTCTTCCCCTCTTCCTCCTTCTAATCTCTTTTCTCTCTTCCCTCTTCAGGATCCTTCTGATTTTCGTTTCTTCTGTTCCCCTCTTCTCTTTCTTCATTATTTTTCTTCTTTTCCTCTTCCCTCTGACTTTTCCCTTCTCTTTTCATGGTTTTCCTCTTTCCTCTTCCTCTTCTAATTTCAATTTTCTTTTCCTCTTCCCTCTTCCTTCTAATTTCCTCTTCCTCTTCCCTCTTCTCTTCCTTCTAATTTCGTTTTCCTCTTCCTCTTCAGTATCCTGACAAATTTCATTTTCCTCTTCCCTCTTCCTCCTTCTAATTTCATTTTCCTCTTCTTTTTCTCCTTCTAATTTCGTTTTTCCTCTTCCCTCTTTTCTCCTTCTAATTTCGTTTTCCTCTTTCCTCTTTTCTCTCTTCTATTTTCTATTTTCCTCTTCCTCTTCTCCTTCTTCTTTCATTTTCCTCTTTCTTCCTCCTTCTAATTTTGTTTTCCTTTTCCCTCTTCTCTCCTTCTAATTTCTTCTTTCCTCTTCCCTCTTCTATCTTCTAATTTCGTTTTCCTCTTCCCTCTTCACTCCTTCTAATTTCATTTTCCTCTTCCCTCTTCGGGGATCCTTCTAATTTCGTTTTTCCTCTTCCCCTCTTCCTCCTTCTATTTTTTTCCTCTTCCCTCTTCCCAATTTCGTTTCTCTTCCATTCTTTTTTCTCTCCCTCCCTCTTTCCTTTTTCTTCGTTTTCTAATTTCATTTCCTCTTCCCTCTTCCTCCTTCAATGTTTCTTTTTTTCCTCTTCCCTCTTCAGTCCTTCTTTAATTTCAATTTTCCTCTTCCTCTTCAACTCCCTTCTTTTTCTTTTCCTCTTCCCTCTTCCTCCTTATACTTTCATTTTCCTCTCTTCCCTCTTCTCCTTCTAATTTCATTTTCCTCTTCCCTCTTAATTTTTCTATTTTTTTTTTCCTCTTCCCCTCTTCCTCCTTTAATTTCATTTTCCTCCTTTTCCCTCTTCCTCCAGGATTTTGTTTTCCTCTTCCCTCTTCCTCCTTCTAATTTCGTTTTTCCTCTTCCCTCTGACAGGATAAGGGATTTCATTTTCCTCTTCCCTCTTCTATGCAATTCTAATTTCTTTTCCTCTTCCTCTCTGCTCCTTCTAATTTCATTTTTCCTCTTCCTCTTCCTCCTTCTAATTTCGTTTTCAGGGATGATCTCCTTCTAATTTTCATTTTCCTCTTCCCTCTTCCTCCCTTTTAATTTGATGAATCCTTCCTTCTTCATTTTCTTCTAATTTTCAGGGATTCTATTTCCTTTTCCTCTTCCCTCTCCTTCTAATTTCTTTTCCTCTTCCATCTTTTCTCCTTCTAATTTATTTTCCTCTTCCTCTTCCTCCCTTCTAATTTATTTCCCTTCCTCTTCTCCTTTTTTCATTTCTTCCTCTTTTTCCCTTAGAATTTCATTTCCTCTTCCCTCTTCTCTTCTTCTAATTTTTTTCTCTCTTACCCTTCACTCCTTCTAATTTCATTTTGATCTTCCCTCTTTCTCTCTTCATTTCATTTTCCTCTTTTCTCTTCACTCCTTCTAATTTCGTTTTTCCTCTTCCCTCTTCTCCTTCTAATTTCATTTCCTCTTCCTCTTCCTTCTAATTTCGTTTTCCTCTTCCCTCTTCCCCTCCTTCGTTTCCTCTTCCTTTTTCTCTTCTTATTTCATTTCCTCTTCCCAGGATCTCCTTCTAATTTCATTTTCCTCTTCCCTCTTCCTCCTCCTATTTCTCTTTTCTCTTCCCTCTTTACTCCTTCTACAGGGATGATTTCCTCTTCCTCTTCCCTCCTTCTAATTTCGTTTTCTCTCTTCCTCTTCTCCTTCATTTCGTTTCCTCAGGATACTTACTCCTTCTAATTTCATTTCCTCTTCCCTCTTCATCCCTTAATTTTTTTTCTCTTCCATCTTGACTCCTTCTACAGGGATTTTCCTCTTCCCTCTTCCTCCTTCTATTTCGTTTTCTCTTCCCTCTTCCTCCTTCAGGATACAGGGTTTTCCTCTTCCCTCTTCCTCCTTCTATTTCATTTTCTCTTCCCTCTCTACTCCTTCTAATTCGTTTTTCCTCTTCCCTCTTCCTCCTTCTAATTTCATTTTCCTCTTCCCTTTTCTGCTCTTCATTATTCTGTTTTTTCCTCTTCCCTCTTCCCTCCTTCTAATTTCGTTTTCCTCTTTTCTCTTCTCCTTCTAATTTCTTTTCCTCTTCTTTACTTCTAATTTCGACAGGATTCATTTGATTTTCTCTTCCTCTTCCCTCTTCTACTCTTCTGTCTCTTTTTCCTCTTCCCTCTGCCTCCTTCTAACAGGATACAGGGATTTTCCTCTTCCCTCTTCCTCTTCTAATGCAATGTCTTTTTCTTTCCTCTTCATGACAGGATTTTCCTCTTCCCTCTTTTCTATTCTTGTCTCTTTCCTCTGCTTCCATTTCATTTCATTTTCCTCTTCCCTCTTCTATCCTTCTAATTTTTTCCTCTTCCCTCTTCATCCTTCTGATTTCGATTTCCTCTTCCCTCTGCACTCCTTCTAATTTCTTTTCCTCTTCTCTTCCTCCTTCTCTTTTTCTCTTTCCTCTTCAGGATTCATTTGATTTTCCTCTTCCCTCTTCCTTCTCTCTTTTCTTTTCTCTTCCTCTCCTTCTCTTTTCTTTTTCCTCTTCCCTTTGCATTCTTCCAGGATAATTGATGTTTTCCTCTTCCCTCTTCTATCTTTCTCTTCTTTTCCTCTTCCATCTTCTCAGGATTCATGGATGATTTTCCTCTTCCCTCTTCTATCTCCTTCTCTTTTCGTTTAAAACATTCCTCTTTCAGGATTCATGGATAATTAAGCACCTCTTCCCTCTTCTCCTTCTAATTTCTTCCTTTTCCCTCTTCATTCCTTGACAGGATACAGGGATCGTTTTCCTCTTCCCTCTTCATGCTTATGTCTCTTTTCTCTCTTCCATTATGACAGGATACAGGGCCCTTCGTTTTATTTCCTCTTCCCTCTTCTATTTCTTCCTTCTTCTTATGCAGGATATGATTTTCTCTTCCCTCTTCCTCCTTCTAATTTCGTTTTCCTCTTATAGGATAGGGGATGATTTTATTTTCCTCTTCCCTCTTCTATTCAATGTCGTTTTTCTCTGCCTCTTATGAGAGGATACAGGGATGATATTAATTTCTTTCCTCTTCTATGCTCCTTCTCTTTTTTCTCTCTTCCATTCAGGATACAGGGATGATATTTTTCCTCTTCCCTCTTCTCCTTCAATGTTTTTTTTTCCTCTTCCATTATGACAGGATAAAGGGATGATATTCTTCACTCTTCCCTCTTCTATGCAATGTCTCTTTTCTCTGCTTACATTATGACAGGATACAGGGATGATCTAATTTCATTTCTCTTCCCTCTTCTATGCTTCTGTCTCGTTTTTTTCTCTCTTCATTTGACAGGATACAGGGATGATATTCTTCCTCTTCCCCTCTTCTATGCAATTTCATTTTCTCTCTTTTCTTCCTCTTACATAATTTTCTATTCCTTTCATTTTTAGCACCTCTTCCCCTCTTCCCTCTTCTAATGTCTCTTTTCTCTTTTACATCTTCAGGATACAGGGGATTTCCTTTCCCTCTTCCTCTTCTATTTGTTTTCTCTCTTCCTCTGTTTCATAATTTTCAGGGATGATTTTCCTCTTCCCTCTTCTATCCTTCTAATTTTTTCCTCTTACCTCTTGACAGGATTCTATTTTCATTTCCTCTTCCCTCTTCTCCTTCTAATCTCTTTTCTCTCTTCATTCTTCCTCCTTCAGGGGATTTAATTTTCTCTTCCCTCTTCTCCCTTCTTTTTCTTTTCCATTCCCTCAGGATCCTTCTAATTTTTTTTCCTCTTCCCTCTTCCTCAATTCTCTTTTTTTTCCTCTTCCCTCTAGGGATGATAATTTCATTCCCTCTTCCTCTTCTTACATTATGACAGGATTTTTTTTCTCTCTTCCCTCTTTATGACATGTCTCTTTTTCTCTGATCCTTCTTAATTTTATTTCCTCTTCCCTCTTCTATCCAATGTTTCTTTTTTTCTCTTCCCTTTGTTTTCCTTCTAGGGATGATTTTCCATTTCTTCCCTCTTCTATTCTAATGTCTCTTTTCTCTGCTTACATTATGACAGGATACAGGGATGATATTTTCCTCTTCTCTTCCTCCTTCTAATTTCATTTAAGCACCTCTTCTCTCTTTTGATTCTCTGTTTATGACAGGATACAGGGATGATTTCGTTTCCTCTTCCCTCTTTTCTAATTTCTCTTTTTCTTCCCTCTTTATTATTTACAGGGATGATCCTCTTCCTCTTCACCTCTTCTATGCTATTCTCTTTTTTCCCTCAGGATAAAGGGATGATTTAATTTCCTCTTCCCCCTCTTCCTCCTTCTAATTTCTTTTCCTCTTCCCAGGATACAGGGATGATTTCGTTTTCCTCTTCCCTCTTCTATGCTATGTCTTTTTTTCCTCTTACATTATGACAGGATCAGGGGATGATTTAAGCACCTCTTCCCCTCTTCTATCCCTAATGTCTCTTTTTCTCTGTTTACATTATGACAGGATACAGGGATGATTTTCCACTCTTCCCCTTCTTATGCTCTGTCTCTTTTTCTCTGTTTACATTAATGACAGGATACGGGGATGATATTAAGCACCCTCTCCCCTCCTTCTATGCAATGTCTCTTTTCTCTGCTTACATTCTGACCTCCTTACAGGGATGATATTAAGCACACTCTTTCCCTCTTTCTATGCTGTGTCTCTTTTTCCCTTTACATTATGACAGGATACAGGGATGATTTTCCTCTTCCCTCTTCTATGCAATGTCTCTTTTCTCTCTTCTCTTATGACAGGATACAGGGATGATATTAGCCTCTCTTCTCTTCTTGCAATGTCTCTTTTCTCTGCTTACATTATGACAGGATACAGGGATGATATTCATTTTCCTCTCCCCCTCTTCTATGCTATGTCTCTTTCCTCTGTTCTCATGACGGGATATGGGATGATATTCATTTCCTCTTCCCTCTCTCCTGCTCTGTCTCTTTTTTCTCTGCTTACATTATGACAGGATACAGGGATGATGTTTCACACTCTTCCCCCTCTCTCTTCTGTCTCTTTCTCTTTACATTATGACAGGATACAGGGATCTTCTTCTCCCTTCTATTTATTTCTCTTTTCTCTCTTTATGACAGGATACAGGGATGATTTTTCTCCCCCTCTTCTTATGTCTCTTTTCTTTCTTCTATGACAGGATACAGGGATGTCAGCACCTCTTCCTCTTCTACAATCTCTTTTCTAAAGACAGGATACAGGGATGATATTAAGCACCTCTTCCCTCTTCTATGCTATGTCTCTTTTCTCTGCAATAATGACAGGATCAGGGATGATTTTAAGCACCTCTTCCCTCTTCTATGCAATGTCTCTTTTCTCTGTTTACATTATGACAGGATACAGGGATGATATTAAGCACCTCTTCCCTCTTCTATGTAATGTTTTTTTCCTCTTCATTATGACAGGATACTGGGGATGATATTCCTTCACTTCTTCCTCTTCTATGCAATGTCTTTTCTCTGCTTACATTATGACAGGATACAGGGATGATATTTCTCTCTTCCCTCTTCTATGCAATGTCTCTTTTTCTCTGCTTACATTATGACAGGATACAGGATGATATTTTCCTCTTCCCTCTTCTATGCTATCTCTCTTTTTCTGCTTTACATTATGACAGGATACAGGGATGATGTTTTCACTCTTCCCTCTTCTATGCAAATGTCTTCTTTTTTACATTATGACAGGACTGGGGATGACAGGATACTCTTCCCTCTTCTATGCTATGTCTCTTTTCTCTTCATTCCCTGACGGATACATTTCATTTTTCCTCTCTTCCCTCTTCTCCTTCTAATTTCTCTTTTTCTCTTCCCATTATGACAGGATACAGGGGATGATTTAAGCACACCTCTTCCCTCTTCTATGCAATGTCTCTTTTTCTCTGCTTACATTATGACAGGATTCAGGGATGATATTAAGCTCTTCACTCTTCCCTCTTCTATTTTCTGTCTCTTTCTCTGCTTCATTATGACAGGATACAGGGATGATATTAAGCACCTCTTCCCTCTTCTATGCTATGTCTCTTTTCTCTTCTTACATTATGACAGGGGATTCAGGGATTTCCTCTTCACTCTTCCCCTCTTCTAATTTCTGTCTCTTTTCTCTGCTCCCATTATGACATTTACAGGGATGATGCCCCTTCACCCTCTTCCCCTCTTCTATCTATGACTCTTTTTCTCTTCTTTCATTTTGACAGGATGTCTCTTTTGATATTATGTTTTTCCTCTTCCCTCTTCTCTCCTATGTGTTTCTTTTCTCTCTTCTTTTCTGACAGGATACAGGGGATGATATTTTCTTCTCTTCCCTCTTCTATTAATGTCCTCTTTTTTTTCTTTTTACATTATGACTCTATACAGGATGATATTTCTCACACTCTTCCTTCTTCTATGTAATCTCTTTTTTCTCTTACATTATGACAGGATACAGGATGATCTCCTCAGTCTCTTCCTCTTCTATGCTATGTCTCTTTTCTCTGCTTATCTTTTCTTCCAGGATACGGGGATGATATTACACACTCTTCCTCTTCTATGCAATGTCTTCTTTTTTCTGCTTACATTATTGGGATACAGGGATGATATTTCTTTTCTCTTCCCTCTTTAAACATTTTCCTCTTCATTTGACATGATACAAGGGATGATAAATGCCTAAGTTTTTTCTCTTTTTACATTATGACAGGATACAGGGATGATATTAATCACCTCTTCCTCTTCTATGCAATGTCTTTTTTTTCTCTTACATTTGACAGGATACAGGGATGATATTAACACACTCTTCCCCTTCTATGCAATGTCTCTTTTTTCTTCTTATGATACAGGGATGTCTCTTTTCTTGCTATGTCTCTCTTTTCTCTTTGTGACAGGATACAGGGATGATATTAAGCACCTCTTCCCTCTTCTATGCTATGTCTCTTTTCTCTGCTTACATTTCTTGACAGGATACAGGGATGATATTAAGCACATTCTACCCTCTTCTATGCTATGTCTCTTTTCTCTGTTTACATAATGACAGGATACAGGGATGATATTCTCTTCCCCTCTTCTGCTGTCTCTCTTTTCTCTGCTTCTTTTATGACAGGATACAGGGATGATATGTTCACACTCTTTCCCCTCTTCTATGCAATGTCTCTTTTCTCTTACATTATGACAGGATACAGGGATGATATTAAAGCCCTCTTCCCTCTTCTCCTATGTCTCTTTTTCTCTGCTTACATTATGACGGGATACAGGGATGATATTCTTTTTCCTCTCTTCTATGCTATGTCTCTTTTCTCTGCTTACATTATGACAGGATACAGGGATGATATGTCACCTCTTCCCTCTTCTATGCTGTCTCTTTTTCTCTGCTTACATTATGACAGGATACAGGGATGATATTAAGCACACTCTTCCCTCTTCTATGCTATGTCTCTTTTCTCTGCTTACATTATGACAGGATACAGGGATGATATATTACACACTCTTCCCTCTTCTATGCAATGTCTCTTTTCTCTGTACTTATGACGGGGGATACAGGGATGATATTTTCTCTCTCTTCCCTCTTCTATGCAATGTCACTTTTCTCTTACATTATGACAGGATACAGGATGATATTACACACCCTCTTCCTCTTCTATGCTATGTCTTTTTTCTCTGTTACATAATGACAGGATACAGGGATGATTTAAGCACACTCTTCCCTTTTCTATCAATGTCTCTTTTTCTCTCTTACATTGTGACAGGATACAGGGATGATCTCAGTCTTACCTCTTCCCTCTTCTTTCCTGTGTCTCTTTTCTCCTTACATTATGACAGGATACAGGGATGATATTTCTTCCTCTTCTATACTCTGTCTCTTTTTCTCTGCCTCATTATGACAGGATACAGGGATGATATCACACACTCTTCCCTCTTCTATGCTATGTCTCTTTTCTCTCTGCTTACATTATGACAGGATGGGGATGATGTTCTTTTCCTCCCCTCTCTTCTATGCTATGTCTCTTTTCTCTGTTTTGTCTTTTTTCCTCAGGGGATGATATTAAGCACACTCTTCCCTCTTCTATGCTATGTCTCTCTTTTCTCTGTTTACATTATGACAGGATACAGGGATGATATTTCACCTCTTCCCTCTTCTGTCAATGTCTCTCTTTTCTCTGTTACATATGATGACAGGATTCAGGATGATCTAATCACACTTTCTTCCCCTCTTCTTGCAATGTCTCTTTTCTGCTTACATTATGACAGGATACATGGATGATATTAAGCACACTCTTCCCTCTTCTATGCTATGTCTCTTTTTTCTCTGCTTCCATTATGACAGGATACAGGGGATGATATTTCCACACTCTTCCCCTCTTCTATACTATGTCTCTTTTTTCTTCTTATATTATGACAGGATATGGGATGATTTTTTCTCCCTCTTCCCTCTTCTAATGTCTCTTTTCTCTCTCATTATGACTTTCTAGGGGATGATATTAAGCACACTCTTCTCTCTTCTGATCTTTGTCTCTTTTTCTCTCTTACATTATGACAGGATACCAGGGATGATCTCTCTTCCTCCTTCTATGCAATGTCTCTTTTTTCTGAATTACATTATGACAGGATACAGGGATGATCTTTTCTCTTCCCTCTTCTATGCAATGTCTCTTTTCTCTTTACATTATGACAGGATCAGGGATGATATTCACACTCTTCCCTCTTTATGTAATCCTCTTTTTCTCTGCTTACATTATGACAATGGGGATGATAGGGATGATCTTTTCTTCCACTGTCTCTTTTCTTTTCTCAGTCTTTTACAGGGATCTATTATCACATACCCTCTTCTATGGATCTCTTTCTTCTGATATTCTGGATGATATTCCCTCTTCCCTCTTCTATATCTCTTTTCTCTGCTTACTTTTAATGATGACAGGATACAGGGATGATGTTAGCACCTCTTCCCTCTTCTATGCTATGTCTCTTTTCTCTGCTTACATTATGACAGGATACAGGGATGATATTAATTTCTCTCTTCCTTCCTCTATTCTATGTCTTTTTCTCTCTTACATTCTTTTGACAGGATACAGGGATGATATTAAGCACACTCCTTCCCTCTTCTATGCAATGTCTCTTTTCTCTGCTTACATTATGACAGGATACAGGGATGATATTCTTCCACTCTCTTCCCTCTTCTATGCAATGTCTCTTTTCTCTGTTTACATTATGACAGGATACAGGGATGATATTCCACTCTTTCCCCTCTTCTATGGGATACATGTCTCTTTTCTCTGCTTCTCTTTTCTCTGACAGGATGAAGGGATACATGGATGATATTTTCACACTCTTCCCTCTTCTATGCAATCTCTCTTTTCTCTGCTTACATCATGACAGGATACAGGGATGATATTTCCACTCTTCCCTCTTCTATGCTATGTCTCTTTTTCTCTGCTTAAAATTATGACAGGATACAGGGATGATATTAAGAACTCTTCCCTCTTCTATGCAATGTCTCTTTTCTCTGCTTACATTATGAAGGGATACAGGGATGATATTAAACACCTCTTCCCTCTTCTATGCTCTGTCTCTTTTCTCTCTTTACATTATGACAGGATACAGGGATGATATTAAGCACCTCTTCCCCCTTTCTATGCTCTGTCTCTTTTCTCTCTTACATTATGACAGGATACAGGGATGATATTAAGCACACTCTTCCCTCTTCTATGCAATGTCTCTTTTCTCTCTGCTACATTATGACAGGATACAGGGATGATATTTTCTCACACTCTTCCCTCTTCTATGCTATGTCTCTTTTCTCTTCTTACATTATGACAGGATGTTGGGATTCCCTCAGCACTCTCTTTCTTCTGTGCAATGTCTCTTTTCTCTTTTAAATTATTAATGACAGGATACAGGGATGATATTCTCCACACTCTTTTCTTCCTGCTGTCTCTTTTCTCTTCTTACTATTATGACAGGATACAGGGATGATATTAAGCACCCTCTTCCCCTTCTTCTCTTTTCTCTTACATTCCCTATAAGGGATGATTAATTTTTTTCTCTGTCTTTTTTATGACAGGATGACAGGATACAGGGATGATAAGCACTCTCTTCCCCTCTTCTATGCTATGTCTCTCTTTTCTCTTTTTACACTTATGACAGGATACAGGGATGATGTTCTCACTCTCTTCCCTCTTCTATGCTATGTCTCTTTTTCTCTGCTTACATTATGACAGGATACAGGGATGATATTAAGCACCTCTTCCTCTTCTTATGCTTTGTCTCTTTTCTCTGTTTACATAATGACAAATTGGATACAGGGATGATATTATTTCCTCTCTTCCCTCTTCTATGCAATGTCTATTTTTTCTTTCCCTTACATTATGACAGGATACAGGGATGATATTAGTGTTAGCCTCTTCCTCTTCTATCTTCTTTTCTCTGATCTTTCTGAAGGATACAGGGATGATCTCTTTTTCTCTTTTCTGATCATTTGACAGGATACAGGGATGATATTAAGAACACTACTCTTCCCCTCTTCTATGCTATGTCTCTTTTTTCTCTGCTTACATTATGACAGGATACAGGGATTCTAAGCACACTCTCTTCCCCTCTTCTATGCTATGTCTCTTTTCTCTGCTTACATTATGACAGGATACAGGGATGATAATGTCTCTTCCCTCTTCTATGCAATGTCTCTTTTTCTCTTTACATTATGACAGGATACAGGGATGATATTAAGCACCTCTTCCCTCTTCTATCTCTGTCTCTTTTCTCTGCTTTTACATTATGACAGGATCTAGGGATGATATTTTTCACACTCTTCCCTCTTCTATGCTATGTCTCTTTTTCTCTGCTTACATGTGACAGGATACAGGGATGATATTAAGCACACTCTTCCCTCTTCTATTGTCTCTTTTTCTCTCTCTTACATTATCTCAGGATACAGGGGATGATATTAATTAACTCTCTTCCCCTCTTCTATCTATGTCTCTTTTCTCTGCTTACATTATGACAGGATACAGGGATGATATTAAGCACACTCTTCCCCTCTTCTATGCTATGTCTCTTTTCTCTGCTTACATTATGACAGGATACAGGGATGATATTATGCACACTCTTCCCTCTTCTATGCAATGTCTCATTTTTTCTCTGCTTACATTATGACAGGATACAGGGATGATATTCCCCCACTCTTCCCTCATCTATGCTATGTCTCTTTTTCTCTTTTTACATTATGACAGGATACAGGGATGATATTAATCACACTCTTCCCTCTTCTATGCTATGTCTCTTTTTTCTCTGCTTACATTATGACAGGATACAGGGATGATATTAAGCACACTCTTTCCCTCTTCTATGCTATGTCTTTTTTCTGTAATGTCTTCTTCTCTGTCTCTTTTTTTCTTACATTATGACAGGATACAGGGATGATATTAAGCACCTCTTCCCCTCTTCTATGCTATGTCTCTTTTCTCTGCTTACATTATGACAGGATACAGGGATGATATTCTCTGCTCTTCCCTCTTCAAATCTCTTTGTCTCTTTTATTATGACAGGATACAGGGATGATATTAAGCACACTCTTCCCTCTTCTATGCTATGTCTCTTTTTCTCTGCTTACATTATGACAGGATACAGGGATGATATTAAGTTCACTCTTCTTCCCTCTTCTATGCTATGTCTCTTTTCTCTGCTTACATTATGACAGGATACAGGGATGATATTGACACCTCTTCCCTCTTCTATGCAATGTCTCTTTTTCTCTGCTTACATAATGACAGGATACAGGGATGATATTAAGCACACTCTTCCCTCTTCTATGCAATGTCTCTTTTCTCTGCTTACATTATGACAGGATACAGGGATGATATTAACTCTTCCCTCTTCCCTCTTCTATGACAGGATATGTCTCTCTTTTCTCTGCTTACATTATGACAGGATACAGGGATGATATTAAGCACACTCTTCCCCTCTTCTATGTCTGTCTTTTTCTCTGCTTACATTATGACAGGATACAGGGATGATATTAATCACACTCTTCCCTCTTCTATGCTATGTCTCTTTTCTCTGCTTACATTATGACAGGATACAGGGATGATATTAAACACACTCTTCCCTCTTCTATGCTATGTCTCTTTTCTCTGCTTACATTATGACAGGATACAGGGATGATATTAAGCACCTCTTCCCTCTTCTATGCTATGTCTCTTTTTCTCTACATTATGACAGGATACAGGGATGATATTATGCACACTCTTCCCTCTTCTATGCTATGTCTCTTTTTCTCTGCTTACATTATGACAGGATACAGGGATGATATTAAGCACACTCTTCCCTCTTCTATGCTATGTCTCTTTTTCTCTGCTTACATTATGACAGGATACAGGGATGATATTAAGCACACTTTCCCTCTTCTATGCTATGTCTCTTTTCTCTGCTTACATTATGACAGGATACAGGGATGATATTAAGCACACTCTTCCCTCTTCTATGCTATGTCTCTTTTTTCTCTGCTTACATTATGACAGGATACAGGGATGATATTAATCACTCTTCCCTCTTCTATGCTATGTCTCTTTTTCTCTGCTTACATTATGACAGGATACAGGGATGATATTAAGCACACTCTTCCCTCTTCTATGCTATGTCTCTTTTCTCTGCTTACATTATGACAGGATACAGGGATGATATTAAGCACACTCTTCCCTCTTCTATGCTATGTCTCTTTTCTCTCTTACATTATGACGGGATACAGGGATGATATTAAGCACTCTTCCCTCTTCTATGCTATGTCTCTTTCTCTGCTTACATTATGACAGGATACAGGGATGATGATAAGCACACTCACCCTCTTCTATTCTATGTCTCTTTTTCTCTGCTTACATTATGACAGGATACAGGGATGATATTAAGCACACTCTTCCCTCTTCTATGCTATGTCTCTTTTCTCTGCTTACATTATGACAGGATACAGGGATGATATTAAGCACACTCTTCCCTCTTCTATGCTATGTCTCTTTTTTCTCTGCTTACATTATGACAGGATACAGGGGGATGATATTAACACACTCTTCCCTCTTCTATGCTATGTCTCTTTTCTCTGCTTACATTATGACAGGATACAGGGATGATATTAAGCACACTCTTCCCTCTTCTATGCTATGTCTCTTTTCTCTGCTTACATTATGACAGGATACAGGGATGATATTAAGCACACCTCTTCCCTCTTCTATGCTATCTCTTTTTTCTCTGCTTACATTATGACAGGATACAGGGGATGATATTAAGCACCTCTTTCCCCTTCTATGCTATGTCTCTTTTTCTCTGCTTACATTATGACAGGATACAGGGGATGATATTAAGCACACCTCTTCCCTCTTCTATGCTATGTCTCTTTTCTCTGTTTACATTATGACAGGATACAGGGATGATATTAAGCACACTCTTCCCCTTCTATGCTATGTCTCTTTTCTCTGCTTACATTATGACAGGATACAGGGATGATATTTAATCACACTCTTCCCTCTTCTATGCTATGTCTCTTTTTCTCTGCTTACATTATGACAGGATACAGGGATGATATTAAGCACACTCTTCCCTCTTCTATGCTATGTCTCTTTTCTCTTCATTATGACAGGATACAGGGATGTCTCTCTTCTTTTCTCTATGTCTCTTTTCTCTTACAATGACAGGATACAGGGATGATATTAATCACACTCTTCCCTCTTCTATGCTATGTCTCTTTTCTCTGTTTACATTATGACAGGATACAGGGATGATTTTTCTCTTCCCTATGACAGGATACAGGGATGATTAATGTCTCTTTTTCTCTGCTTACATTATGACAGGATACAGGGATGATATTAAGCACACTCTTCCCTCTTCTATGCAATGTCTCTTTTCTCTGCTTACATTATGACAGGATACAGGGATGATATTCTTCACTCTTCTTCTCTCTCTTTTCTTCTATGACAGGATACAGGGATGATATTCTCTTTTTCTCTCTCTTTTTCTTACATTATGACAGGATACAGGGATGATATTAAGCACACTCTTCCCTCTTCTATGCAATGTCTCTTTTTCTCTGCTTACATTATGACAGGATACAGGGATGATATTAAGCACCTCTTCCCCTCTTCTATGCAATGTCTCTTTTCTCTGCTTACATTATGACAGGATACAGGGATGATATTAAGCACACTCTTCCCTCTTCTATGCAATGTCTCTTTTTTCTCTGCTTACATTATGACAGGATACAGGGATGATATTAAGCACACTCTTCCCTCTTCTATGCTATGTCTCTTTTTTCTCTGCTTACATTATGACAGGATACAGGGATGATATTAAGCACACTCTTCCCTCTTCTATGCTATGTCTCTTTTCTCTGCTTACATTATGACAGGATACAGGGATGATATTAAGCACACTCTTCCCTCTTCTATGCTATGTCTCTTTTTCTCTGCTTACATTATGACAGGATACAGGGATGATATTAAGCACACTCTTCCCTCTTCTATGCTATGTCTCTTTTTCTCTGCTTACATTATGACAGGATACAGGGATGATATTAAGCACACTCTTCCCTCTTCTATGCTATGTCTCTTTTTCTCTGCTTACATTATGACAGGATACAGGGATGATATTAATCTCTTCCTCTTGTCCCTCTTCTGACAGGATGCAGGGATGATATGTCTCTCTTTTTCTCTCTTTACATTATGACAGGATACAGGATACAGGGGATGATATTAAGCACACTCTTCCCTCTTCTATGCAATGTCTCTTTTTCTCTGCTTACATTATGACAGGATACAGGGATGATATTAAGCACACTCTCTTCCCTCTTCTATGCTATGTCTCTTTTTCTCTGCTTACATTATGACAGGATACAGGGATGATATTAACTTCCCTCACACTCTTCCCTCTTCTATGCTATGTCTCTTTTTCTCTGCTTACATTATGACAGGATACAGGGATGATATTAAACACACTATTCCCTCTTCAATGCTATGTCTCTTTTTCTCTGCTTATATTATGACAGGATACAGGGATGATAGTAAGCACACTCTTCTCCTCTTCTATGCTCTGCCTCTTTTTCTGTGCTTACATTATGACAGGATACAGGGATGATATTAAGCACCTCTTCCCTCTTCTATGCTATGTCTCTTTTTCTCTGCTTACATTATGACAGGATACAGGGATGATATTAAGCACCTCTTCCCCTCTTCTATGCTATGTCTCTTTTCTCTGCTTACATTATGACAGGATACAGGGATGATATTAAGCACCTCTTCCCTCTTCTATATGTCTGTCTCTCTTTTTCTCTGATATTAAGCACCTCTTACATTATGACAGGATACAGGGATGATATTAAGCACACTCTTCCCTCTTCTATGCTATGTCTCTTTTCTCTGCTTACATTATGACAGGATACAGGGATGATATTCTCTTTTCACACTCTTCCCTCTTCTATGCTATGTCTCTTTTCTCTGCTTACATTAATGATTATGACAGGATACAGGGATGATATTAAGCACACTCTTCCCTCTTTCTATGCTATGTCTCTTTTCTCTGCTTACATTATGACAGGATACAGGGATGATATTAAGCACACTCTTCCCCTTCTATTCTATGTCTCTTTTCTCTGCTTACATTATGACAGGATACAGGGATGATATTAAGCACACTCTTCCCCTCTTCTATGCTATGTCTCTTTTCTCTGTTTACATTATGACAGGATACAGGGATGATATTCTTCCTCTTCCCCTCTTCTATGCTATGTCTCTTTTTCTCTGCTTACATTATGACAGGATACAGGGATGATATTAAGTTGCCTCTTCCCTCTTCTATGTCTCTCTTCCCTCTTCTATGCTATGTCTCTCTTTTCTCTGCTTACATTATGACAGGATACAGGGATGATATTAATCACACTCTTCCCTCTTCTATGCTATGTCTCTTTTTCTCTGCTTACATTATGACAGGATACAGGGATGATATTAAGCACACTCTTCCCTCTTCTATGCTATGTCTCTTTTCTCTGCTTACATTATGACAGGATACAGGGGGATGATATTAAGCACACTCTTCCCTCTTCTATGCTATGTCTCTTTTTCTCTGCTTACATTATGACAGGATACAGGGATGATATTAAGCACACTCTTCCCTCTTCTATGCTATGTCTCTTTTTTTTGGCTTACATTATGACAGGATACAGGGATGATATTAAGCACACTCTTCCCCTCTTCTATGCTATGTCTCTTTTTCTCTGCTTACATTATGACAGGATACAGGGATGATATTAAGCACACTCTTCCCTCTTCTATGCTATGTCTCTTTTTCTCTGCTTACATTATGACAGGATACAGGGATGATATTAAGCACACTCTTCCCTCTTCTATGCTATGTCTCTTTTTCTCTGCTTACATTATGACAGGATACAGGGATGATATTAATCACACTCTTCCCTCTTCTATCTATGTCTCTTTTTCTCTGCTTTTTATGACAGGATACAGGGATGATGCTCCCTCTTCTATGCTGTGTCTCTTTTTCTCTGCTTACATTATGACAGGATACAGGGATGATATTAAGCACACTCTTCCCTCTTCTATGCTATGTCACTTTTTCTCTGCTTACATTATGACAGGATACAGGGATGATATTAAGCACACTCTTCTCTCTTCTATGCAATGTCTCTTTTCTCTGCTTACATTATGACAGGATACAGGGATGATATTAAGCACACTCTTCCCTCTTCTATGCTATGTCTCTCTTTTCTCTGCTTACATTATGACAGGATACAGGGATGATATTAAGCACACTCTTCCCCTCTTCTATGCTATGTCTCTTTTCTCTGCTTACATTATGACAGGATACAGGGATGATATTAAGCACACTCTTCCCTCTTCTATGCTATGTCTCTTTTTCTCTGCTTACATTATGACAGGATACAGGGATGATATTAAGCACACTCTTTCCCTCTTCTATGCTATGTCTCTTTTTCTCTGCTTACATTATGACAGGATACAGGGATGATATTACCTCTTCCCACTCTTCCCTCTTCTATGCAGGATGTCTCTTTTCTCTGCTTACATTATGACAGGATACAGGGATGATATTAAGCACACTCTTCCCTCTTCTATGCTATGTCTCTTTTTCTCTGCTTACATTATGACAGGATACAGGGATGATATTAAGCACCTCTTCCCTCTTCTATGCTATGTCTCTTTTTCTCTGCTTACATTATGACAGGATACAGGGATGATATTAAGCACACTCTTCCCTCTTCTATGCAATGTCTCTTTTTCTCTGCTTACATTATGACAGGATACAGGGATGATATTAAGCACACTCTTCCCTCTTCTATGCTATGTCTCTTTTTCTCTGCTTACATTATGACAGGATACAGGGATGATATTAAGCACACTCTTCCCTCTTCTATGCTATGTCTCTTTTTCTCTGCTTCATTATGACAGGATACAGGGATGTCTCTTTTTTCTCTATGTCTCTTTTTCTCTGCTTACATTATGACAGGATACAGGGATGATATTAAGCACACTCTTCCCTCTTCTATGCTATGTCTCTTTTTCTCTGCTTACATTATGACAGGATACAGGGATGATATTAAGCACACTCTTCCCTCTTCTATGCTATGTCTCTTTTTCTCTGCTTACATTATGACAGGATACAGGGATGATATTAAGCACACTCTTCCCTCTTCTATGCTATGTCTCTTTTTCTCTGCTTACATTATGACAGGATACAGGGATGATATTAAGCACACTCTTCCCCTCTTCTATGCTATGTCTCTTTTTCTCTGCTTACATTATGACAGGATACAGGGATGATATTAAGCACACTCTTCCCTCTTCTATGCAATGTCTCTTTTCTCTGCTTACATTATGACAGGATACAGGGATGATATTAAGCACACTCTTCCCTCTTCTATGCTATGTCTCTTTTTCTCTGCTTACATTATGACAGGATACAGGGATGATATTAAGCACACTCTTCCCTCTTCTATGCTATGTCTCTTTTTTCTCTGCTTACATTATGACAGGATACAGGGATGATATTAAGCACACTCTTCCCTCTTCTATGCTATGTCTCTTTTTCTCTGCTTACATTATGACAGGATACAGGGATGATATTAAGCACACTCTTCCCTCTTCTATGCTATGTCTCTTTTTCTCTGCTTACATTATGACAGGATACAGGGATGATATTAATCACACTCTTCCCTCTTCTATGCTATGTCTCTTTTTCTCTGCTTACATTATGACAGGATACAGGGATGATATTAAGCACACTCTTCTTCCCCTCTTCTATGCTATGTCTCTTTTTCTCTGCTTTACATTATGACAGGATACAGGGATGATATTAAGCACACTCTTCCCTCTTCTATGCTATGTCTCTTTTTCTCTGCTTACATTATGACAGGATACAGGGATGACAGGATACTTCTATGGGATGTCTCTTTTTCTCTGCTTACATTATGACAGGATACAGGGATGATATTATGCACACTCTTCTTCCCTCTTCTATGCTTTCTCTTTTCTCTGCTTACATTATGACAGGATACAGGGATGATATTAAGCACACTCTTCCCTCTTCTATGCTATGTCTCTTTTTCTCTGCTTACATTATGACAGGATACAGGGATGATATTAATCACACTCTTCCCTCTTCTATGCTATGTCTCTTTTTCTCTGCTTCATTATGACAGGATACAGGGATGATATTAAGCACACTCTTCCCTCTTCTATGCTATGTCTCTTTTTCTCTGCTTACATTATGACAGGATACAGGGGGATGATATTAAGCACACTCTTCCCTCTTCTATGCTATGTCTCTTTTCTCTGCTTACATTATGACAGGATACAGGGATGATATTAAGCACACTCTTCCCCTCTTCTATGCTATGTCTCTTTTCTCTGCTTACATTATGACAGGATACAGGGATGATATTAAGCACCTCTTCCCTCTCTTCTATGCTATGTCTCTTTTCTCTGCTTACATTATGACAGGATACAGGGATGATATTAAGCACACTCTTCCCTCTTCTATGCTATGTCTCTTTTTCTCTGCTTACATTATGACAGGATACAGGGATGATATTAAAACACACTCTTCCCCTCTTCTATGCTATGTCTCTTTTTTCTGCTTACATTATGACAGGATACAAGGATGATATTAAGCACACTCTTCCCTCTTCTATGCTATGTCTCTTTTTCTCTGCTTACATTATGACAGGATACAGGGATGATATTAAGCACACTCTTCCCTCTTCTATGCAGGATATCTCTTTTTTTCTCTGCTTACATTATGACAGGATACAGGGATGATATTAAGCACACTCTTCCCTCTTCTATGCTATGTCTCTTTTCTCTGCTTACATTATGACAGGATACAGGGATGATATTAAGCACACTCTTCCCTCTTCTATGCTATGTCTTTTTTTCTCTGCTTACATTATGACAGGATACAGGGATGATATTAAGCACACTCTTCCCCTCTTCTATGCAATGTCTCTTTTTCTCTGCTTACATTATGACAGGATACAGGGATGATATTAAGCACACACTCTTCCCTCTTCTATGCTATGTCTCTTTTTCTCTGCTTACATTATGACAGGATACAGGGATGATATTAATCACACTCTTCCCTCTTCTATGCTATGTCTCTTTTTCTCTGCTTACATTATGACAGGATACAGGGATGATATTAAGCACACTCTTCCCTCTTCTATGCTATGTCTCTTTTTCTCTGCTTACATTATGACAGGATACAGGGATGATATTAATGACACTCTTCTATGCTATGTCTCTTTTTCTCTGCTTACATTATGACAGGATACAGGGATGATATTAAGCACACTCTTCCCTCTTCTATGCTATGTCTCTTTTCTCTGCTTACATTATGACAGGATACAGGGATGATATTAAGCAACTCTTCCCTCTTCCCTCTTCTATGCTATGATATTAATCACACTCTTCCCTCTTCTCTCTTTTTTCTCTGCTTACATTATGACAGGATACAGGGATGATATTAAGCACACTCTTCCCTCTTCTATGCTATGTCTCTTTTTCTCTGCTTACATTATGACAGGATACAGGGATGATATTAAGCACACTCTTCCCCTCTTCTATGCTATGTCTCTTTTCTCTGCTTACATTATGACAGGATACAGGGATGATATTAAGCACACTCTTCCCTCTTCTATGCTATGTCTCTTTTCTCTGCTTACATTATGACAGGATACAGGGATGATATTAAGCACACTCTTCCCTCTTCTATGCTATGTCTCTTTTTCTCTGCTTACATTATGACAGGATACAGGGATGATATTAAGCACACTCTTCCCTCTTCTATGCTATGTCTCTTTTTCTCTGCTTACATTATGACAGGATACAGGGATGATATTAAGCACACTCTTCCCTCTTCTATGCTATGTCTCTTTTTCTCTGCTTACATTATGACAGGATACAGGGATGATATTAAGCACACTCTTCCCTCTTCTATGCTATGTCTCTTTTCTCTGCTTACATTATGACAGGATACAGGGATGATATTAAGCACACTCTTCCCCCTCTTCTATGCTATGTCTCTTTTTTCTCTGCTTACATTATGACAGGATACAGGGATGATATTAAGCACAACTCTTCCCCCTCTTCTATGCAATGTCTCTTTTTCTCTGCTTACATTATGACAGGATACAGGGATGATATTAAGCACTTCCCTCTTCCCTCTTCTATGCTATGTCTCTTTTCTCTGCTTACATTATGACAGGATACAGGGATGATATTAAGCACACTCTTCCCTCTTCTATGCTATGTCTCTTTTCTCTGCTTACATTATGACAGGATACAGGGGGATGATATTAAGCACACTCTTCCCTCTTCTATGCTATGTCTCTTTTTCTCTGCTTACATTATGACAGGATACAGGGATGATATTAAGCACACTCTTCCCTCTTCTATGCTATGTCTCTTTTTCTCTGCTTACATTATGACAGGATACAGGGATGATATTAAGCACACTCTTCCCTCTTCTATGCTATGTCTCTTTTTCTCTGCTTACATTATGACAGGATACAGGGGATGATATTCCCTCTTCTATGCTATGTCTCTTTTCTCCCCTCTTCTATGCAATGTCTCTTTTTTTTCTCTGCTTACATTATGACAGGATACAGGGATGATATTAAGCACACTCTTCTTCCTCTTCTATGCTATGTCTCTTTTTCTCTGCTTACATTATGACAGGATACAGGGATGATATTAAGCACACTCTTCCCTCTTCTATGCAATGTCTCTTTTTCTCTGCTTACATTATGACAGGATACAGGGATGATATTAAGCACACTCTCTTCCCTCTTCTATGCTATGTCTCTTTTTCTCTGCTTACATTATGACAGGATACAGGGATGATATTAAGCACACTCTTCCCCTCTTCTATGCTATGTCTCTTTTCTCTGCTTACATTATGACAGGATACAGGGATGATATTAAGCACACTCTTCTTCCCTCTTCTATGCTATGTCTCTTTTTCTCTGCTTACATTATGACAGGATACACAGGGATGATATTAAGCACACTCTTCCCTCTTCTATGCTATGTCTCTTTTTCTCTGCTTACATTATGACAGGATACAGGGATGATATTAAGCACACTCTTCCCCTCTTTCCTCTCTTTTATCTGCTTACATTGTCTCTTTTTCTGGATGATATTGTAACACTCCCTCTTCTACATTTACATTATGACAGGATACAGGGATGATATTAAGCACACTCTTCCCTCTTCTATCTAATGTCTCTTTTTCTCTCTTCATTATGACAGGATACAGGGATGTCTCTCTTTTCTATCTATGTCTCTTTTTCTCTGCTTACATTATGACAGGATACAGGGATGATATTAAGCACACTCTTCCTCTTCTATGCTATGTCTCTTTTCTCTCTTACATTATGACAGGATACAGGGATGATATTGCACACTCTTCCCTCTTCTATGCTATGTCTCTTTTTCTCTGCTTACATTATGACAGGATACAGGGATGATATTAAGCAACTCACTCTCTTCCCTCTTCTATGCTATGTCTCTTTTTTCTCAGGATACAGGGATGATATTAAGCACACTCTTCCCTCTTCTATGATGTCTCTTTTCTCTGCTTACATTATGAGGATACAGGGATGATATTAAGCACACTCTTCCCTCTTCTATGCTATGTCTCTTTTTCTCTTTACATTATGACAGGATACAGGGATGATATTAAGCACACTCTCTTCCCTCTTCTATGCTATGTCTCTTTTTCTCTGCTTACATTATGACAGGATACAGGGATGATATTAAGCACACTCTTCCCTCTTCTATGCTATGTCTCTTTTTCTCTGCTTGCATTATGACAGGATACAGGGATGATATTAAGCACACTCTTCCCCTCTTCTATGCTCTGTCTTTTTTCTCTGCTTACATTATGACAGGATACAGGGATGATATTAAGCACACTCTTCCCTCTTCTATGCTATGTCTCTTTTTCTCTGCTTACATTATGACAGGATACAGGGATGATATTAAGCACACTCTTCCCCTCTTCTATGCTATGTCTCTTTTTCTCTGCTTACATTATGACAGGATACAGGGATGATATTAAGCACACTCTTCCCCTCTTCTATGCTATGTCTCTTTTTCTCTGCTTACATTATGACAGGATACAGGGATGATATTAAGCACACTCTTCCCTCTTCTATGCTATGTCTCTTTTTCTCTGCTTACATTATGACAGGATACAGGGATGATATTAAGCTCTTCTCTCTTCCCCTCTTCTATGCAGGGGATGTCTCTTTTTTTCTCTGCTTACATTATGACAGGATACAGGGATGATATTAAGCACACTCTTCCCTCTTCTATGCTATGTCTCTTTTTCTCTGCTTACATTATGACAGGATACAGGGATGATATGCTATGTCTCTTTTCTCTTCCCTCTTCTATGCTATGTCTCTTTTCTCTGCTTACATTATGACAGGATACAGGGATGATATTTAGCACACTCTTCCCTCTTCTATGCAATGTCTCTTTTTCTCTGCTTACATTATGACAGGATACAGGGATGATATTAAGCACACTCTTCCCTCTTCTATGCTATGTCTCTTTTTCTCTGCTTACATTATGACAGGATACAGGGATGATATTAAGCACACTCTTCCCCTCTTCTATGCTCTGTCTCTTTTTCTCTGCTTACATTATGACAGGATACAGGGATGATATTAAGCACACTCTTCCCTTCTTCTATGCTATGTCTCTTTTTCTCTGCTTACATTATGACAGGATACAGGGATGATATTAAGCACACTCTTCCCTCTTCTATGCTATGTCTCTTTTTCTCTTCATTTCAGGATACAGGGATGATATTATGTCTCTCTTTTTCTCTCTTTTCTCTGCTTACATTATGACAGGATACAGGGATGATATTAAGCACCTCTTCCCTCTTCTATGCTATGTCTCTTTTTCTCTGCTTACATTATGACAGGATACAGGGATGATATTAAGCACACTCTTCCCTCTTCTATGCTGTGTCTCTTTTCTCTGCTTACATTATGACAGGATACAGGGATGATAATGTCTTCCCTCTTTTCTATGTCTCTTTTTCTCTGCTTACATTATGACAGGATACAGGGATGATATTAAGCACACTCTTCCCTCTTCTATGCTATGTCTCTTTTCTCTGCTTACATTATGACAGGATACAGGGATGATATTAAGCACACTCTTCCCTCTTCTATGCTATGTCTCTTTTTTCTCTGCTTACATTATGACAGGATACAGGGATGATATTAAGCACTCTCTTCCTCTTCTATGCTATGTCTCTTTTCTCTGCTTACATTATGACAGGATACAGGGATGATATTAAGCACCTCTTCCCTCTTCTATGGATGTCTCAGGGATCTGCTTACATTATGACAGGATACAGGGATGATATTAAGCACACTCTTCCCTCTTCTATGCTATGTCTCTTTTTCTCTGCTTACATTATGACAGGATACAGGGATGATATTAAGCACACTCTTCCCTCTTCTATGCTATGTCTCTTTTTCTCTGCTTACATTATGACAGGATGACAGGATAGGGATGATATTAAGCACACTCTTCCCTCTTCTATGCTATGTCTCTTTTCTCTGCTTACATTATGACAGGATACAGGGATGATATTAAGCACCTCTCCCTCTTCTATGCTATGTCTCTTTTCTCTGCTTACATTATGACAGGATACAGGGATGATATTAAGCACACTCTTCCCTCTTCTATGCTATGTCTCTTTTCTCTGCTTACATTATGACAGGATACAGGGATGATATTAAGCACACTCTTCCCTCTTCTATGCTATGTCTCTTTTCTCTGCTTACATTATGACAGGATACAGGGATGATATTAAGCACACTCTTCCCTCTTCTATGCTATGTCTCTTTTTCTCTTTTTATGACAGGATACTCACACTCTTCCCCTCTTCTACATTCTTTTCTCTGACAGGATTATGACAGGATACAGGGATGATATTAAGCACACTCTTCCCTCTTCTATGCTATGTCTCTTTTTCTCTGCTTACATTATGACAGGATACAGGGATGATATTAAGCACATTATGACTCTTCCCTCTTCTATGCTATGTCTCTTTTCTCTGCTTACATTATGACAGGATACAGGGATGATATTAAGCACACTCTTCCCTCTTCTATGCTATGTCTCTTTTTTCTCTGCTTACATTATGACAGGATACAGGGATGATATTAAGCACACTCTTCCCTCTTCTATGCTATGTCTCTTTTTCTCTGCTTACATTATGACAGGATACAGGGATGATATTAAGCACACTCTTCCCTCTTCTCTTCTCCCTCTATCAGGGATGATGCACACTCTTCCCTCTTCTGTCTATGTCTCTTTTTTCTCTGCTTACATTATGACAGGATACAGGGATGATATTAAGCACACTCTTCCCTCTTCTATGCAATGTCTCTTTTCTCTGCTTACATTATGACAGGATACAGGGATGATATTAAGCACACTCTTCTTCCCCCTCTTCTATGCTATGTCTCTTTTTCTCTGTCTCTCTTTTTCTCTGCTTACATTATGACAGGATACAGGGATGACTCACTCTTCCCTCTTCTATGCTATGTCTCTTTTCTCTGCTTACATTATGACAGGATACAGGGATGATATTAAGCACCTCTTCCCTCTTCTATGCTATGTCTCTTTTTCTCTGCTTACATTATGACAGGATACAGGGATGATATTAAGCCACTTCTCTTCCCTCTTCTATGCTATGTCTCTTTTCTCTGCTTACATTATGACAGGATACAGGGATGATATTAAGCACACTCTTCCCTCTTCTATGCTATGTCTCTTTTTCTCTGCTTACATTATGACAGGATACAGGGATGATATTAAGCACACTCTTCCCCCTCTTCTATGTCAATGTCTCATTTTTCTCTGCTTACATTATGACAGGATACAGGGATGATATTAGGGATGATCTCTTCCCCCTCTTCTATGCTATGTCTCTTTTTCTCTGCTTACATTATGACAGGATACAGGGATGATATTAAGCACACTCTTCCCTCTTCTATGCTATGTCTCTTTTCTCTGCTTACATTATGACAGGATACAGGGATGATATTAAGCACACTCTTCCCTCTTCTATGCTATGTCTCTTTTTCTCTGCTTACATTATGACAGGATACAGGGATGATATTAAGCACACTCTTCCCTCTTTCTATGCAATGTCTCTTTTCTCTGCTTACATTATGACAGGATACAGGGGATGATATTAATGTCTTCCCTCTTCTATGCTATGTCTCTTTTTCTCTGCTTACATTATGACAGGATACAGGGATGATATTAAGCACACTCTTCCCTCTTCTATGCTATGTCTCTTTTCTCTGCTTACATTATGACAGGATGTCTCTTTTTCTTCTGCTATGTCTTACACATTATGACAGGATACAGGGATGATATTAAGCACACTCTTCCCTCTTCTATGCTATGTCCTCTCTTCATTATGACAGGATACAGGGTCACACTCTTTTTCTATCTATGTCTCTTTTTACATATGATGACAGGGGGGATACAGGGATGATATTAAGCACTCTCTTCCCCTCTTCTATGCAATGTCTTTTTTCTCTGCTTACATTATGACAGGATACAGGGATGATATTAAGCACACTCTTCCCTCTTCTATGCAATGTCTCTTTTCTCTGCTTACATTATGACAGGATACAGGGATGATATTAAGCACACTCTTCCCTCTTCTATCCCTTTTTCTATGCTATGTCTCTTTTTCTCTGCTTATGTCATTTTGACAGGATACATTATGACAGGATACAGGGATATATGCACACTCTTCCCTCTTCTATGCTATGTCTCTTTTTCTCTGCTTACATTATGACAGGATACAGGGATGATATTAATCACACTCTTCCCCTCTTCTATGCTATGTCTCTTTTTCTCTGCTTACATTATGACAGGATACAGGGATGATAGGGATGATATTAATCTCTTCCCCTATTCTTCCCTCTTCTATGATATGTCTCTTTTCTCTGCTTACTTACATTATGACAGGATACAGGGATGATATTAAGCACACTCTTCCCTCTTCTTGCTATGTCTCTTTTTCTCTCTTACATTATGACAGGATACAGGGATGATATTAAGCACACTCTTCCCTCTTCTTCTCTTTTCTCTTTTCTCTGCTTACATTATGACAGGATACAGGGATGATATTAAGCACACTCTTCCCCTCTTCTATGCTATGTCTCTTTTCTCTGCTTACATTTGACAGGACAGGATACAGGGATGATATGTCTCTTTTTCTCTGCTTACATTCTGACCAGGGATGATCTTCTCTTCCCTCTTCTATGCTATGTCTCTTTTATGACAGGATACTGCTTACTCTTCCCTCTTCTATGCTATGTCTCTTTTTCTCTGGGACAGGATACAGGGATGATATTAAGCACACTCTTCCCCTCTTCTATGCTATGTCTCTTTTTCTCTGCTTACATTATGACAG